CTCCCAGCATAATCCTGTCCAAAGCTGGCAAATCCTGTTTGACAGACGACGGGTCTTGGCGAGGCGGGCGACCCTCGTGGCCCCCGGGTCAAGAGCACAACCACAGCAATTGTTTCGGCTGACAAGCACCGAATGTGGCATTACACATTGTTTCAACAACCCTCCGGTTCCAATATCGACTTCCCATGGAGAAAGGATACTAGCAGGGGCAGCCGCAATTGCGATCAATTGTTCATCAGTCCGCGTATTGACAGCCCGAGCAAAGTGCCGGCTTGGGATGGGAATTTTCGATGTTCCCGAGTAATTCCATCTTCAGAGGAGAACGATTATCAAGATGTTGGAAGAGATCTCCGTCAATTCAGCCGGGTCGGTTATGGGAAGTCAAATAAATGATGTAATTTGAATTTTAGGAGTACCCAATAAACTCAATTGTTGTTCTAATTTGCTGGTATTGACTATGCATGGCCGGTCAAATTGCATACGCATCCATTTCTTCCACATGGCTGTGGTCATATTCTTTTCATATTCTCCACTTGAATATTTGATGACATTCCTTAAAATTTGCAGAAACGTCTTAAGAGAAATGAAATACCCATCGGCATGCTATTAATACCATAGCTAGTCAAATGCTATCACCCCTTCGGCCTTTTCTATCGGATATAAATGTTGAGGTCGGCTATCCTTCGATGCCAATTTTGTTTCGCAAGTAATTTGTTGCAATGACTGCTGCCCTCCTCGGTGATCAAATGCATAGAGGGAGGGCGTTAAGCTCTGTTCACTTCCAAGTTAATTAAGACCTCGATCATTTGCTGCTAACGAGGGCGAGGGTAACTCTCAATATGGTCAGGGATGTCTCCAAGTCCAAGAGGCCAATCCGCACAAATATTTTCACTGTTGATTGTCACCAAGCGTCAATATGTCGAGTTTGATTGCTGGCATTCGGTGCTCCTCTCTGTCAATAAAAATAGTGTGCGGAGTGAAGCGTTCCATATCCTTACGCAAACAGCACGCCAGACGGCGGTTAGAGAAGCATGGACTTTAAAGTGGGCTTCAACGGCAATTAGAGCCGTGAATATTGTAGGCCATGACTCAAGGCAGTGAACCGGGGCAACGATGGATTACCGTAAACCTGGAAATGCCTTCCAGCAGTGGCTTAAACTTAAGTTGTATCACAAAGCCTCAGCTACACATCCTTGTCTTATGTGGTGGAACCAGACTCAAGAACTGGGGCTTGGGTTAAGCTGCGATCAACAAGAAGGTTTAGTGTGGGAATCAGGCGTTGGAATTAAAGTGTAGATAAAATTGGACGACTTGTAAGATGAAGACTCGCCATGCATCCTAACTAGGACTCACTAATTATTTTGTGAGCCAGTACCTTGAAATTCAGCCAGTACATAAATGATGAAACTACTCGTACTTGACAGGAAGGATCTGTACTGCTATTCCTTCATATATGTCATGTGTGCATCTAGCATAGTTTAAAATTACACTATCAAAAAGTTGTGCAAAACCAATAACGATAGATACAAATATATATAGAATACAACACGGGGTATTCCGTATCGCCCGAGGTATCGGCCCGACCGCGATCCGACTCGCGGGAGGGCCGGGACCGAGGGCGATGCGGAATACACCGTGTTGTATTTTATTTATATCATACCCACCCAAGAAAACGCGCCTTTCAATGCAAGATTAGCCAAAAGTTGGGGCCCCTAAACCCTCAAATGCAACAACATCAGTTCCAACGTCCGGATTCTGTATTCGAATTTTCGAAAGGGGTACAAGCGGGTAGGGCGAAACGCGTTCGAATCGTTTTATGGAAGCCATGGCAGCATTCGATAACGGGTTCCGGACCGGGTATGATATAAATAACATAGCAGTAAAACAAACTCAAATATAGCTAGCATCTCAAATTACATAATGTATACAGATAAAAGTGTAATGCTGCATACAAACCAGGGTTGGACAAGTTTTCAAAAATCCTCTTGCCCTATCGGGCAAGTACATTGTCATTACCACTTGCCCTTTTCATGCATTTTTACTACCAGCATCTTATTTTAGAGATTATAATACTGCATACTTTATTTGTCAAAATAATGTGGTTTGAGACTTGCAATGGACTTTCTGACGAAAGGACATTAATATAATATCAATTTGGCAAAAGGATGTCGTAATTTTGCTCCAAACACCATAGCGGTTATACTTTGCATCCAAAAAAAATTACTTGCCCAATCGGGCAAGTACAGGGGGATATTCACTTGCCCGAACAGTACTTTTACTTGCCCTGGGCAAGTGGGCAATGGGACTTGTCCAGCAAATAATTACACACAACATAAACACAAAGCTTTTAGAAAAACTGTAACTTGTACACACATTAATTTAGTGCCTTTTAGTCCCATGTAGCAATTTTGGATGTGAGTGATTGCCTCCAGATTTGATTATATCACCGGTGTGGAAGGGAGATACATTAAGGGATTACTGTTTATGGCTCATTGGTAAACAATTGCTTGTCTGAGCTTTCCCTATCTCTGAATGACATGAAGGGGGGTGCAGACGTGCACATATATTTAACAGCAATTGAAGCATGCTTTCTACGTATGTAATCATCATTAGCATGCTGTATTGCTGCTGTGGGAGTATGAAAGTGTATTTGAGCGTCAGGGTGACAACATGTTACATAATTTGCTTGACAGAAACGGCACTGATCCAAAAATCCAATCAAAAATGTGCTCTAAATTATGTCAGCAATTTAGGTCTCATACATGTACATGTGCCTAGGTAATGATATCATGGTAAACTTACAAATGTAACATGCATGTCTGGGTATATGATGAAGCTTCAGGAATAAGCCTCAAGCGCCAAACCTTTGCACGTTAAAGAACCCAACACACTTATCGACAGGAGTAGGGGTGACCTGGTGTGATTGTAAATGCAAGCTGTAAAATGCACTATAATCATCATGCTTCACCTCATGATTTGAGGAAGACTGCTATAATAACATTAATTGCCTTTACCTTCCTGGTAATATTTCTGTTGAATCCGTTATGCAAAATTATTGCAAACAGGATGAGTAGTTGTTATGTACAAATCACAGGAAAAACAATGTGTATAATTGCAGTGTGACATGATATGGGATTTGTTCGATGAGTTCTCTCTAACTGGGTTATAGCCCGTGTAACAATTGTTTGCCATATATTGGTCTAGTGGTGACAGTTGTTTATACAGTGGAGTTCAGCATGTGTTGATCCTGTCAGCAGACTGTTGGTTCTGTGGAGTCAACCAGCCTGGTTTGGTTTGGGCGGTTCAGAGGGTCACTAGTAGCAACCAGGGATAAATTAACCTTCATCCTGCTGTCTAACCACAGAACCAATACAAATTTGGTGCCAGACAGCTACCTTGTCAGGCTAATGAGTGAGATGAGAAAATAGCAAGTTTATTTCTAGATTCTCAGAAAGTGTAGTAAAAAGAAGAACTAACGTTAACAAGTCAGTGACTGCACTTGCAGAAAAAAGGTCACATGCAATTTTTAACATTACATCCCACCATGGTTCAGTTCAAATCCTCTTGTTGTCCTTCAATTTTCCAGCACTTCTTCTTTTCTTATTTTCCATGTGAGATCCTGTTTCCCACTATAGATAATATTCACCACAGTGGAAGAGTTGCCCATTACATCATAACACAATGCACTCGAATTCCCAGAATACAGCCACAGCGTGTTATCATATCTGACGTGCTCCACCAAGCAAAGTTATTGCAATTACGGTCCCCTTCCCTGCCTATTTTCTCTACCCATGGAGAAATGGAGTTGAATTTATTGATCTTGGGGCCAGTCCAGAAGTAGCTAATAGATGTTCTTGTGTCTGGGGGAACATCGGAGCTCTTCATGAATTAGTAACTGCTCATCAAGGGATGATGTTTTCCTGTAATGCTAAATTGAATGCCTCTCAATGGTATTACGGCAGGAATATAAATTAGTCGTATCCTTGTCTTTCAGCTTCAAAGTCATTCAGACATAATCTCCTGTTATGTAAGGTTACAAATTGCTTTTAACCATGATAATAAGGAATAAAATTATCATCATTTTTCTTTAAAGAGCATCCTGCCTCATTCACGCATTATGTAAGACTTAGTAATAATTTTAAACTTAAAAATGTTACAATTAATATTTATGTATTTGCCACATTATAAGTTAACACCTTCTAATTGTGCATGGCAAAAAACTAATTAATAAAGCTAGCTGCTCCATTTTCTATAAATCTGTCATTTAATAAAAACCTATCTTCTTTCCTCAATGTGCAAAACTATGCAACATTAAAAGTTCCTGGTAAGTCGGCCAAGTATAAACTTTGACTTACTTACAATTTTCTCAGTATTCCATCATACCCTTGAGGTATTGACTAAGCCATAAAAAACAGCTTTTACTCTTCAAGTTCAAGGCTGAGTTTCGTAATGACTCGTTTGTGCACGGAATAAAGAAACGTGTCTTATCTTGTAGTACAGTCTGTATGCTACATGTTTTATGATGTATCATGAGACTGTACTGTACAACTTTTACATATACATTACTAATCAAGTTTCAGTTTATTTTTCCAGCAGTGTGCAACTTGCACACAGGCTATTCATTACCTTGTCTGTTGCATGATATACTATCCCCTTTGCCATTTTGCTAAAGTACAGACTGACATGTAATACAACTTCTTGACAAAAGACTATGGTATTACAGGATTTGGGTGTCAAATCTCTGTGTACATCTTTAATAAACTGTCCAGAATGTCATCTCGTGATCCAGACAAATTGATCACCTATTACATCTTCTTAGACTTATTTAGATGGATGGATTTTTGGATTATAGTATGTTCAAGTATTTATATCATGACAATATCACATGAAAAGTCATATTTTTTTCCCTGTCAAAATGTAGAGTTCTGTATAAATTAATGTACAAAAAGTGGAATGAATAACAAGTTCATGTATGTTCTTTTTTGTTTTTTCTTATGCAGTATGAGTTCAAAGCCAAGGCCATCAAGAAGAAGAAAGTCAACATCACAATCTCAGTAGATGGTGTGAAGTGTGCATTGAGGAAGAAGAAAAAGGTGAGAACTTTTATCCTGTACTTGTTGTATTGTTGTTGTGCCTTAATCTTAATCCCAAGAAGGTGGTGGTCATCTTGAAAACCTTATTTTATGATTAACCATTTTGGTCTTATACATGCCATTTTTATCTGCCAATATCAGTGGCTACTCTGAACATGTCTATTTTCTTCTCTCCTTTTTGAGGCGGCCTTTTGGAAGAAATTTGTATATATTATTAGTTAGAAGAAGGGAAGGGAAAAAAAGGTTAAAATACCTTGTGTAATGCCAAACCATCTTCAGCACCATGAAAACATATTGGCTGATCAAAAGTTGATGGTATTCATACTCCAGGCATCATTACGTGTATGTGCTGTCACAGATACATTTGTATTTGAAGGTATTATATAAGTCTGTGGGGGAGCATACATATTGCACATTTGTATCATCCACCTCTAATAACTACCAGAATGCTGGATTACCCAGACCCCCCATCTCTGGCATCTGCTAGACTCAGACGTATATCCCATGTTTGAGTAATGCCTTGCCATCAATTCTCTTTAAAGAACGTACATGTGCATGTAGTCTTATACCTCCTTCTCCGGGATTAAGGTCAGCAGGTGCAATAACTAGACAAGGTAAGGTATTCTGAGCACATCTTGTCGTTTATATTCATGCCACAGTCATGTCAATTGAAGAATACAAATATGTACACATGTATGTCTGCAGTCACGGTTTATTATTGCATTATATTTTCTCCACAAATTATAACGCTTTAGCAATATGAATGTTGACATGAAGCCTTGCAAGGTGAAATTCATTACAAACTTATTATCAGAACTTGAGCTAACATTTATAACATAACCAATGGTTAATAAATGCCATGGCTGGATGCATTCGGTGGCATATTCTCATAATTTCTTGCCTTAGCTTCTTTGTTGGGATTTTCTTTGCAATTAGAACTGATGGTATCTTTCTTACAGTTCTTGACACCGATTGTATATCAACTAAAAGCACTAAACACTTTCATTAAGCTTACACTTGGGTGTTAGAAGTTCATTATGGTTGTAGACCATTTAGAATGAGAAAATTTCCCATAAAAAGCAAATGTTGCCTCCTGTCTTTAGTTGTTGCATTTTCTGCATAGCATTGTTAATCCTTTTTAACTTTTTCCTTGTAACAGTTTTACACAGTTGCAGGTTAAAAATTGATTTGTATTCGTCCACAAGTTTTCAACGTAATCCAAATTTTTATCGAAATTGGAAAGCAAGTAGACATTAATAATGACTATAACGTATTAGAGCACACATTTTCTGGCCCATGTACCAAAACGTCAATAACTAATCATGGTGGGTGTTGCTGGCCATAACAGGAGCTCATCTCTTTTGTGTGTGTGACTATTTCTGATTCACTTCTCCTCTTTGTACTAACATGTTTAGTATGCTCCTGTAACTCCCTGCGAAGCGCACTGAATTTCATTCTCCTACTTGGTGAAGTCTTTAAATTCTGTATTTGCACAATCATTGATTGCAGGCTGCGAATGTAATGAAGAGTGTAATTGATGATGTTGCTTCTATGTCGGCTTCATGCCTCGGATATTGATCAGATCAATAAAATGTACGCCGTCATTTCATCTTGGGTAACCAAATTCAGCCTGGTGTACAATAGAGCATTGTCCGCAAAATACCTGACCAAGGATTTACATTCGGTAATTCTATCAACCAACCCCCCCATGTGGAAAGTTGGCCCAATCCTGCCGAATTTGGTTACAAATGTGTGACTAACTTTATCTTCTCTCTTTCCATGCTAATCTCTTCGCTCCTGGGCCAGCATCTATTGGTTTGTATACACCTGCCTTATCTGTTATCATGGCTTTGGTTGTGTAGTTGTCAGGCATGATAAGAAAGGAAAGTGGTGATGGTAGATTTTATTTGATGGTGAAGAATTTGAGCAGTTAAAGGCAAAAGGCAATACGTCATGATCATGAAATACAAGACAGTTTTTATGTTTATGACTCTCCCAACTCCTGTACATAAAGATAAAAGCCCTATTCTAGATGATTCAGATTGAAATACTTTACTAAAGCACTCGCTTTCAGGATACATCAATTACTAAAGAGTTAACACTGGTCGCATCAATTTTGGAAAGTCACAAGGCATTTGGAAACTCAAGTAAAAATTGATTTTCAACATTCAAGTTTCACATCAGTGTGTAGCTCTTGGTGTAATGAGCACAGTGATATGAAAATTATTGTTCTGCAGTGTTCATAACTTAAGATATCATTAATAATAAATACAAGCAGACCAGTGGTCTTTCCTAACAGCCCGTCAGGCCTAACAATTAGCCCGCAAGTTTTAATTACAGGACCTTCGGTCTAAAGGCACTAGACCACAGGTGTAGAATCCCAGCCCGCGGGCTGATTTACTCAAAAACCATTCAGACCGTCAGCCTAACTTCAGCCCGCGGTCTGGAATTTCTGGTCAAAGAGGTGCAAAAAGCCCAAAACAATGGCATGGAAGGCGTGAATTGATTGATGTTTGCAGACTGTCTGTGCCAATTTCAGCCTGGTGGGGTAAGGATTCAGACCTCACGGACTACATCTCAGCCCGCGGTCTGATCCAAGTGATGTGTAAAACTTCATTCTCAGAGCAGAAAATAAGGAAGGAGAGCATAATCCACACCCATCTGTTAACAGTGTTGTACATTTTTGCCGCTTTCAACCTCATTCACTCACTCAATCACTCAGCTTTGCATGCTCTTTCCACTACATGTAGACCACAAAAAGAAAGAAGAGCTTACAAACACGTTCTGTACCAGCTAGGGGTAGAAAATGAAACAATTTTTTCTCATGAGCATCCTGAATGTCATTGAAGTTCAGTTCAGTTCAGTTGAAACATTGGGAAAATTATGTTACAGACAGTTTTGCCAGACAAAATTCTAGTACTATATAATATGAGCAAGAAGCCTAATACATGCATTGCAACTTAAACCTGCTTTCAAGCAATGGAGTTATAAAATCCTCAGTCCATTTCTGTTCAACCATGGTTCAACAGTTCTCAGGTAATTATTCTGATCAAGGAACAATTGTTATGCGGGATGAAACTAAGTTTAGCTATTGTTCTTGACATGCAAATGCCACTGTCCAATTATCAAGTTGGACTATTGTTGAGTTACACGTCGAATTACAGTACCCCTATCTGGGCAGCTTGACTACTGGGTCACCCAGTAGGAGCCTGAAAAGATGACCGACTATCTTAAAAATAAAACTAGGATTCTCATCATTAATTTCTTGTTCATAATCTAAATCTAATCTAATCATAATACTACAAACTAGTTGAGGGATAGAAAGATTTGGCCAAGACATGGTTCTCAACGTGTGAACCCAGGCCATCTGACACTGTCATTATATACAATGTCATAAGGTTTTCTGATTGGATATTTTTTCGGGCTATTGAGCTACCCAGTGCAAGCTGCAAAGACCATGTCACCCATGTCTGGGTACTAGTAGCCCGACCAGACTCTCTAATTTGATAATTGGACAGGTATGAATGATAACATGCATGGAAATTAATTTTGAAAATTTTCTTCCTGCAGGAAATTTCTGCAGGAAAAACCTACTAAGACATTGTAGATTCCTGCAGATAGAATCCTTCCTAGAAATTTCGGCAGGAATGACTGTATAATAAATAATATACAACTGTTAGGCCACACCAATATACATGTAATGTAGTCTCCACCAGACTCCTTTGCAGGCTAAATAAATAGTAGCAATCGGCTAAGGCATGGAGGTAGCTCCATGACTAAGGGGAACATCATTGGCCAGAGGAGTTGGCCGGCCATAGAGACTAAATATAATGCCATTACTTTAGTACTTGTTTCTCAGACTCATTCACTTGAAGAAGAATCCTGTTCTATAGAATTACAACATTACATCAATATTCTCTCAAGGTCACCTTAGTAATTGATCAATGATCATCTGATTTTTTGTATGTCATGACAATTCATGCAGTCTGATAACTCAATGAATGCTTTTGCTTCGGAAGCAAAAGCATCCCCTTTCTTCAGCTGTAAACACGTCTAACATTGATCAGATTCTGACTGGAGACTAACTTCAAGTTGTTGCTTGGAAGTTAGAACTTGTTAATTTTATCATAATCACCTCCCCTCCCCTTTTGTCACCCATTTTTAAAGAAACTGTGTTCTTTGTGTCTAGGGGATAACAAGCCTTTACAATGTAATTCATGGGCTTATTGAGGGATGTCTATTATCACTCTATGGTGACATTTCCTTGGGCAAATGTTGGCCCTCCAGGAGCCAAGGAGCTAGCCTGGCAGCAGTCTGGTACCCATGTAACAGTGGGGGGGTTATAGGCACTAAAGCTCGCCCCTGTTTCTTACACCCAGGCTACCTGGTCTGCTATCATACATGTACATCCTGCGTTGTACAAGCATTTTACGTTCTGTTCCTAAATTTTTGGGAAATATCCAAACTGAATGAACAGCTCTTTTCATTATATATATAACCTATTTGAGATGTTTCACAAATATTGTAACAATTAGAAAATTTTCTACTTTTTTTAAATCATACTTTGAAATTATCTACTAGAAACATTGTGTTTTTTTTCAAAATGGTTACAATTTGTAATGTGGAATATAGCAATATAGAATTGACTCTAGGCCTTGGGCAAGCACTTCCAATTAAATTGTAATTACTTATTACAAATCCTGTAAAGATTCTCATCATTAATTTTTTGTTCATAATCTAAATCTAATCTAATCATGATACTACAAACTAGTGTGGGATAGAAAGATTTGGCCAAGACATGGTTCTCAGCGTGTGAACCCAGGCCATCTGACACTGTCATTACAATGTCATGAGATTTTCTGATAGGATATTTTTTCGGGCTATTGAGCCAGTGCCAGTGCACCCATGTCAGGGTAGCCCAACCAGACTCTCTAATTTGATAATTGGACAGTGGTCATTTGCATGCCTGGAACAATAGGTGACCTGAGGTATGACCCGCATAACAAAGGTGCAGGAACAGAATAATTACAAAAGAAAATGTAACATGAATTTCCTAAAGCATTGTACAACTCCTTGCACTGAAAGCAAGTTCATGTTGCAAATTGAGGATCGATTCCTTGCTTTTTATGTTTTCAGTGTACATCGGCTGAGGCTTATACATGGCAGGATTATGGCACACAAAACTCCAAATGTTTTCCTTTTGATTTAAATGTTTCCATGGAGTTATTGTTTATCTGTTAACCATGTCCATTCATCTTGTTTTGTTGTGACCTGTACTTAGCCAAGTCTTCATTCTTTAAAAAAAAAGATAAATTTCTACCCCCATGATGTTTCAAAGGGATTTGGCCAGGGGAGTTGCCCATCCATAGTAGGACAGATTGGACTATACCTGCCAAACAGAAACTGTAAGTGACCATGAAGTGTCCTCAAAAGTTGGCTTCCAACACCACAACCAATCAGGTCTAATATGAAGTGTTCTTGCTGAGACAAGGGTCTTTTATGATGCTATCTGATCTTTTTTAGTCATAACCGTTACACAAATGTTACACCCCGCCCAGGTATCAGCCCAGGTAGCACAGCAGGAGCAAAATCCACCTCCTCAAACATGTTCAAAAAGCTTTCTACTAGAAAGAGACTTTTTGCAGTCTTAATAGCAGAACAATTATTCCCATGTACAGGAAAAATTCTTCCAGTAGAAATTTCTGAAGCTTTTGCAGAAAATGTTCAAAATGAATATTCATGAAAGTTATCATCATTCATACCTGTACATCATACTTGTCAATAATATGTAATCACTTATTGAAAATATTAGCTGAAAATGTGAAGGGTGTTTATTAATATGAAGTGATATGAAGTGAAGTGTAAACCATCATCAATCTGGAAGCATCAATTTGGAAGCATATTTTTGTTTCCCACTTTCTGTTTGGTGTTTAAAGTCTGAAGGTTCTCTATCATAAGGCCTAATCATCAGCCCAGCCTGTCCACAGACCGACAGGCCTGTTCAGGCCCGCGGGCTAACCATTGAGCCCAGACCTCTCATGAATTTATCACAAACTTGTTAATTACACAGGTGTGAAAATGTGAATTCTCATTAATTCAGTGGTTTTCATGGGGTGTTCATGAGGCTAATTGGATGCGGTCTGGATGTGGGCTGGCTAACTCAGGCCGCGGGCTAAAGTTTAGGACTGCCAGGCTAAGCTGCTGGGCATGACGGTGTGTGTTCTAGACCGCCAGGCTTGCAATTTTTAAAGTCAAATATCTTGATAAATTTGTACATTCTGACCATAAAAAAAGCAACCTGGTACTGAAGATAGCATGATCTTTCCAATGGCATGCAAAAGTTCACTGTACATCCAGGAATAACAAAGTTGAAAATCAGGGGTTTCAACATAGGTGTCTCAAAATTCGGAAAGTGACATTCCAAAATTGAGGTGACCAGTGTTAGTTAGTTGTATGCACAATGTGTACATTGAAGCAAGTACATACATACAAATACAATGTTGCAAGTGCTTTGCAACTATTCAATAATGATCTTCCTTACCCTTTTCTACAATCATACATGTCCCTTTAGATTTGTATAGAAATACTCTGAAATGCAAATAAACCCACTGAAAATTAAGGATAAAAAGATACCTGTTTCTAGTTTATTACATTGTCATTGGGACCCATAACTCCTCCAATACACACGTATGCCTACCATTTTTTGCATGCAATTCCATTGCATTTTCAACTGCTGTCCAGACTTGACCAAGCTAGACTGATTGACGTAGATTTGGTGTTGCATGTATGAAAGTCTGGTGTATTACATATCAGGTCTGGAGGTCAAACCACTTAGAACCAGCCAGATGACCTGTTGGTGATGGGAATGCCCTTGCATGCCCAAATATGTTGATGCAATCAAATTTCTCAAAATAGTACTAGTCAAAACCAACTTATTGCAATGATTCAATACCACAATATATTATATTTGCCAATAAATGCATGCTAGTGGGTGAAAGGTAGTGAACATTGAAACAGATTTTTGTCTTGTTTTACACATGTATGATTTGAGATAAATTTTCACTAATGTTATGACAACTTTTCTGATGAACTTGTACCTGGACGTTGCACCCATGATGATTCTCCCTTGTCAATCACCCAGAAAAAGCAGTGGACCTGGGATGAGAGCAAGCTCCTGCTGATGTCACACCCTATCTACAGGTGAGTGGTAACATCTGGATGATATAAGACATCTATAACAGAAACTACCTGCAGTACATGTACATTGATGAATTACAATACAGTCATAGGCAATTCACATTTTACTACTGGATAGAGTAGTAAAAGCCATTTAGTGAGATGCTGAAGAAGAGTGATGGATGTCACTGGAATCATCCGAAACTTGACCGAAAGTTATCTCTGTAAGTGTAATATATCCAGGAGTGTGAATTGCCTATGAACACCTACCATACTTCAGGGCTCCAAATAGTTTTTTCTGGAAACCTGCACTGGTGCAGTGACATGCAAAATTACAAATCAAACAGTGATGAAAAAGTGAATTTCATGAAGCATGGATCAAACTCAATACCTGAACTGGTGAAGGTTAGGTGCAGGTAGACATCAGAAATACCTGCACAACTCCAAATGTACCTACACTTACCTGTATATGTATTTCGAGCCCTGTACTTGGTAAGAGAGATGTGCACACCCAACAGTGAAATAAAGAGAGATTCACTGACTTGAAAGAAATGTAAGTTCATAAAGAAATACCACAAAACCAGCAGTGTACCATTCCTACCACAGACGGACATAAATAATTCAATGCAGCACAAAGCCACAGGCAATTTTATCGACAGTGTTCAAATGAAAATTCCTCACATAACTTTCAGGATAACAGGTATAATGTAAAGGGTCTTGGTTTTATTTCACAGCACAATTAAATCGGATGGCACCACACTGACAACTAATTATATGGCTATCGACTACGCGTCTGTCATAAAATTTCCCAATTCCCGTTCATCCTGAAACGGTGCGTTTAACTTGTATCTCAGAGTGGTAAAGCGCTCCCGAATCAGCAGCACTATTTTATGGGTGATTAACATCGTGTATCGCATTTAGGATGAATAAATCGGTCTGCAGGGAAAAGATGTTTGTACCCATTTAGCATTGGAAATAAATGACTTGCAGTTTTCTACCCTATTAGTTCTCGGTAGATATGTCACAACAGGACAATCACCAAGGGTTCTAAATTTTAAATAGTATGGAAATGTGACATATTACTCTTACACTTGTTACAGTGATACGCTGATATAGAATCATGAGTCAAGCCTCATTTTTGTGTTGATTCAAACTGTAAAATTTCATTTTGGCAGGTCCATTTCATTTAGATTTTTATCGCTGTTGGGTAAAATAATTGCTTTTGAATTAAAGGTTACTCACTGACCTAAGTTTTACGTTGCCTTACGATAAAAATGAGGCACTGGTTGGGACATCATTAAACATGTTTCCCACCGGATGTCATAAAACCATGTGCTATGACCTTGCCAGGTGCTGCAGTCTTGTTCCGTGATTGGTAAAGTCCCTTGTGCAACTTGTAATGGGAAGATGCCTCTCTGATAAAGCCGACTAAACCCTCAACCCCACCATTGGGTATTGTCTTTGACATTTGCATGGTCATTATTTTAAGATGGCCGGGGTAGTGATCACCATTTTATGATGTACCTATCCTTGGCCGTAAAAAAGCTGGAGACAAGCAAACTCCCATTTGGATCATAAAAGAGCAGAAGCAATACAGGACTTGATTGCTACATGCATCCCCGATGGGTCCTGGGATGATTATATTTGCATTTGATGAGCCGAAAAAGCACGGAAGGAAGGCTAGAGAAGAGCTTATGATCACGTCCAGTCTGTACCAGTGAGCCTTGTCGACCCCTGGTCACCTTTGTCGTCCCGTGGACACCACACAACTGATCAGGATGTGCAGAGAAGCTATTGATTGCGTGATTACTTTCTGCCCATGTCAGACAGTTGTCTCAGTTTATCGCTTGCGTTTTCTCCGTGCCGCTAATCGAAAATATTGCTGTCTGTGATGAGCTGTCGGAAGTGTGATAAAACGTGACAGCGGGGTGTCTTCGGGGAAACTAGCGCAGCTGAGTTTGAGATTGGAGGAGGCAGGAAGGTGACCCATCCAAGGTTAACCTATTGATTGGTTGAATGGAGGGTATGATTGAGAACTCAAGTTTCTGTGTCATCAAGACTTAGTGTTTGAAAGAAACTACATCTTTCAGTAAACTTAAAGTTAGTGTATCCTTTTATGGAATCGACCAGCAAGGATTCTGTCAAGTTGCATGAAAATAAAGAAGTAAACCTGCACAACAACAGAAAAGGAAGAAAGAGAAAACTTTGTACCTTGAACTCTTGACTTGAAACTCTTGAAATTCCACCAATATCTTCACCAGCCCACACACAAAGGCACTTTCATAAGTCAAGGCATATCAGGCCCAATATCTGCCCACTTGCCCATAGAAGGTCTGTGGATCAATCCCAGTAACAGACTTCTTGCAAGCCATACCGTTTCTAATAATAGGCAGACATCCATTTTGAATGTCTGTGTGATACGAAGTAATGTTGCTTTTCCGAAGTGGCAATGTGAGAGCGAAGTGCTGGATGTAACAGTAAAAGGCATTGTCATATTCTTCACAGGCCCACTTTTCCGCACATTTTCCCCGTGCAAATTGTGATAACGTGTCTGCTCCATCAGTCTTGTAAAAGGACCGGCGCCTGCCTTTGTTTGCTAAGGCTTAAAACTTTGCTCAAGATGAATGAAACTAGCATATCTACCTCCAGCAGATACAACGCAGTCCTACATTGTAAGTATAGTTGAGCTGTACATGGTGCTAGCTGTTGATAACAGTTTACATGTAGAGCAGAACAATAGTATAGATAAATGACAAAATGGGGGGAAAGTGATGGCCATTTCTTTTATCAGTGAAATGCCGGGACAAAGAAGATAAAGATGAAGTGTTGTTTGTTCCCTCTTGTGTCAGAATAAAAAGGGTGGTTCTGGTACATCAACCATCATTCAGTGTTGTCCAGACACAGGAAATGGGGTGGAAACCCTGGCACCCCACAAATGAAACCATTTATCCTTGGAGAACTGGTCTCCCTCAAGTGGAAAACTGTCCAGAAACTTGGGGAAGATAAAAGGGACTGACAACTCTGAGTGGGCTGCTGATAGGCTCAAGTGTTCCATATTCACCCACCTGTCAGAATGAGTGATAATGGGGGAGGGGGGCTGTAATCTGGGGGAAATGACTGTTCACCTTTGGTGTTCAAGGTCACAGCTTGAGGTTGGTTTGGGTTTGAGAATCATGCATTTAAACATATACTATACTCTTTTTAGCACACTTCAAGGCCTTCTCATAATTACCTGAATTTATTTTCTGGTAAAGGTCACCTGCCAATGACCTTTGTGGTATATTTTTGCCACTGCAATTCTTCTTACATCATGTCTGATGACTTATTAATGCATGCTTCCTTCAAAGTTCTGAGAGGTTTACTTTCTTTTATCATTGTACTGTGAAATGATATGTTTCCCAAATTAGAGGTTGTTTCAGGAAGAGTGCCATTGAAAAATCACGATGGTCAGATTTGGGCCCAAAAGTCCCACTCCGCTACTATGGAGATCGAATCCCCCGAACCCGCGAATCTTGTTCGATATGACGTCATTCGAATAGAGCGGGCGTTCGATCTGGGGTTACCCGCGGTCATTTACAGTAAAGTCGCTACAACCGGCTACTTCAAGCTCTTTTTTACTTGGGAACCACGGAACAGGAAAAATCCACCTTTCCACAAACATTAACCGTTTTCAAAACATTACATCTATGCCGTGATTTTATTGTGGATATGTAACATGTAACGAAGCTACTGCCGTCGTCATGGGTGACCTTGAAGGTCAGAATTCTTGTTGACGCTGTTATAAAATCCAGGTCCCCATAACCAAGTGGCATAGCATGCGTGCAAACATGGTATTTTAACCATTCCCAAAAATCGCTCAAATTACCTCATTGAGGTCTTGTTTGGAAGAGGAACGATTTCCGCAGATTTCTGTCTTAGGGATTTTTTAAATATGGCCGCGATTACGAATTATCGGTATTTAAAGTTAAAACACTGCGTTTTTAGCTCTTCTTTTGACTGTAAGTCGAGTTTTAGTTAAAAAATAAAAAAATCCTAAGACAGAAAGTTTAAATTTACTGTAATATTTCTAAAAATCCAAAAATCTAACCTTATTTTTAATTTTCGGGGCCTCTTAAAATCAGTTGTTTGGTTCTCGTGAACCCTTTTTGAAATCCGAAATTGATCTCATTTGGAAGCAAATGTACACAAAGTGGAGCAAATGCAGTGCAAGAATAACATTTGAGGTAAACAAAATCACTTATTACATTTTATTTTGACGAGTATTTACTCTCCAATTACTTTTGTTTATTTTCAAATTTTACCCGTTACCCCCGGGCCGGCCTGGGACTCCCGCGCGGCCACGTTCGAACACGTTCTGTAACCCGATACCTCCCTAGTAATGCGACTTTTAGCCTAGCAACCGACCGCCGTGAATAGAGAGCTAGTTGACCTTTCGGCCTTTTACCTCACCAAGTTGAATAAGATTTGGTGAAGAAGAAAGCTGCAATTTGAAGAAAACTGCAAGGGGGTAAAACCAAACTTTTTTCTTTCTAAGGGTTTGACTTTTGAACAACCAATTAAATCCTAATTAAACCAAAAAATTCTAGTAATGAAATTATACATTTTAGCCTCCCTGCTGAGTTGCCTAGATAAAAGTTGTAAATGAATGTGTATAAAGAAGACTACATATGATGGTTTTAATTTCATGCTTAATCAAAACCAACCATGGAACAAGAGTGACAAGTGTTGACCATCATCAGTTACAGCTTGACCCTTTTCCATCTACAGGAAGAGATATGATGATAAATCGGTAACTTTATCTCTTCAAAACATGGTGATAATAAATTTTTTTGTCACAGGTTGTTCACACACACCAAAGTGATTTTCTCAGTATCACTAATGGAATGTTGCCTCAGATTCCAATGGCCAGGTGTTAATTAAAGAGCGGTTTACTAGTAATGATTTAGATCATTACTTCAAACCTAACCGTAGAGAAGTGTGGGGAAATCTATCAAAACAGCAACAGTGAAAGAAAGAACAACATC